AGCCACCTCTACCCGTTTTTATGGTACCACTCAGACTTCTTGGCACTAGAAACCCACTTAAACAACCATAAAACACCCAGACTTGGAAGCAATATAACAATACAGCTTGTGAGTTATACTACAGTATGTTAGGTGTTCTCCCATTGCGTTTTTTTCAATTGGACTAAAGGTTTACAGTAACAAACTGAAAAGGAAAGCTGTTCTTAATAAATGACAGTCACTGATTTCTTCTTGATACAAATTCTTTTGTACATTGTTTTTTCATATCCTTGCCTTGAAACAACTGAACATTATTTTACAGGTAAAGAAAATACAAAAGAAACCAAACACTTCAAAACAGCTCTTTTCTTCTGATACCATCAATCCAAGAACGAAGGAAGTATTATTAACTGTACTTTGTTTTCTCACAAAGTGTTGTTGAACAATAAAAAAAACATATAGAAAAAGTTGATGACTCGCTGTTTTTAAGTTGAATAATGTCCGTTCACCAGATAGATACTTTTTCAGGTACCTTTAAAAACAAAATACTAAGAATATGATAAATATCCATGTAACTCAACAGACAGAAAGCTAAATTAATACAAAAAATAAAACTGAAATAAAATAATATAAATTTAAAACTGGCATAATAAAAAGAACCTACAGTAAAATAAACAGAATAGTGCAATTGCTGTTTTACCGAAGGTTTGACGGTCTCCCAAAATAGGTTTAATTGTCTCTCAACTTCAATTTCTATTGATCCACTTGTAAACAAAGAAGCAAAATCGATGAAGAGAACTGTTGGCAAGACCTTAATACACACTTCTGGCTGTCTAGGGAATATATGTCACCAGAAAACCAGAGCATTTACCAGGTATAAAATACAGTCTAGGACAATGCCACTTCAGAAAAAGTCCCAGGTGTTTGACTGTATTTTTAAATTATAGAAAGTGGACTGTGTTGTTTCCTACTTCCAGATGATAGCAAAGGTCACTGGAAACAATGATGAATTCTGTCTCTTCTTCTTGTGGTGCTTGAATTCACACTGTTATGTTGCATCTTAGAATCCCATTCAGGTAATTTATTTCATAATGATGGGATTCATCACAGCTTCAACGTCTGTAGCTTTGTTGTGATACACTGCATTTTCATTTTATTCACAAGCCATTAAAGACAGACTATCTGATGATGAAAAGATGTTAAAGTCCACTGTCACTGTTAGTCTTATTTATTTTCTATACTGAAATCGTGAGACAGATAATTATTCGAAATAGATTGTAGAGAACATTTGGCCATGTCTCCAGCTACAGATCGAGCCATTCAAAAAGCGTAAAGTACGCTGTGTCAAAACGCTTTATACCGCAGGCAAATTGAAATATGATAATAGTGTCCGGAAGCACCTTGCAAAACCGCCAGGTGGAGCTAATAAAGCTTAACGTCTCATATACAGCATTTGAGCTGTCGTCAGAAAACGTCCGTTTCGAATCCTGGTCACTGCTGAGGGACAATCTTTTTCCACTTAAGAATTTAAGTTGTAACTTTTAGACTTTTAATAAATTTATTAAATTTTAATAAATTTAAAAAACTAAATTAAAAATTAAACAGCACGTTAATCATAAAACATTCAAATATATTTTAGAAAAGCAAGATTGTTCACTTGGACAAAAGTACACAATCTTCCACCTTCATCGTAAATATTTTAATTATGCATAACTACTGTATTATGGATGTACATTATGGATGTACATATGTATTGCAAAATAAACTTATTTCAACTAATCTTTTTACAATACAAAAGAGTCTGACCAGACGTAAAATATCCCATTGAAAGTCATTACAGTAATCCAGTTTTCATTTTAAAATGCTTTTGGACCTTGCATGTTTCAATTGCTAGCATCATTTCATGACAGGAACATGAATAGAATCGGCAAATCATGCAATACTGGATATAAATGAACATCTTAAAGGGAATTACAAGATGTTTATTGAAAGCGAAACAGAACTCATTTTGGAGGATTTATATCCAGGCTATACAGAGATTATGATAGTTAAATCTTAAAATTATCATGCTTAATCTCTCATAAATACAGGATAACAAGATAAGAGAGTCTAATCCCCTTGCAATCTTGAAGTTGTAAATACCTTTTAATGGCTGGCATGATTAAAGCAATCCCATGCCACTGGTCTGACATTTGAAAGATGTTTTGGGAACAAAATGCAACTGTATGTGCAGGAATACAGGTGTTTCGTTTGGAAATTTCAAAAGGGGGTCAATGATTCACACTACTTTCCTCTACAGCTCTATGCCAGGAATGACAAGCAGGTTTCTGCAAGAGGACCAATGAAGTCACCAATAAAGTATACAAACGTGATGCATGTTAATGTGTGCAGAATCCAAAGATTACTACCTTTACTCAAGCATTCCAATACTGTGTTTCCATACTGAATCTCCATATAGTATAATAAAAACCAATTACTAAATATGTCACCTGACACCTGAAGGACACCTGAAGAAGGCTCCATGGCCGAAATGTTGCATTTTCTTTCAGCATGGAATAAACTTATTACTTGTTCCTTTGCAGCCTATTGACCATGCTAAATAAATAACAGACATCTTAAGCAATACTTATTTTTTTGAGAAATATAAAATCTGCACAACTGAATTCACCCACATTAATAAAAAAAACTGCACAAAAATAAAATGCTAATGGCCCTATCTATCTTTTTATCACAGGCTTACAGTATGTGGTACAGTAGTTTAAGGGATTTCTGTGCATAAATGTGCCAATTAATTGGTGTTCAAAACAAGGTGACAACATGAAATGGTGTTACATTTGTAACTCTAAATAGGAGGGGGATTATTTAACTTTAATAAAATCAGAATAGCCTATTTACATGGCATGGAACTTATATTCAAAATGCAGGGTTTTACTGTTTGTTTGATTGCATGCAGTGTATTCCAGATATCAGAGAAGACTGATGATAAAACCATTGACCTCACTTTTTTATCGTAATCCCTATACTGTAGATGTTACATTAATATATATATATAATTTTGCTTGAACTAGCAAGGGAAATGTTTGAACAAAAAGACAATTGCTTCAGAGATAATGCTACGAAGGGATTAAAATAAACAGCTGAATGACGTATTTTATAATCTTAGGCCATAAAGTAGGACCTATTCTACACATTTAATAAGAAAAAGGTCATTGCACTCATGATGATCCCAAATGCATCATTAATTGTGAAGAGAGAAAGATTTTTTTTCCAATTGTTATTTCAACACCCAGCTGTATAGCTAATTATCATGCAGATTTATGCTCTGTTATGCATAGCGGGCACTGTTAATTGCGCTGAAACAACAACACATTTAATTACAGTATGCATGCTGTAAGCATAAAATCAGATGAAAGAAATTAGTTATGAGATAAAATTTCTGACCTGTTTTATTGGAACAATTTGATATTACAATCAAAAGTATAAAGACACATTGAAAAACAAGTGTTGGTTTACTGTAGTATACTTAAGGCATGCTATTTTGGTTTCATTGAACAATAAGTTTTATTTTTGCAGTGTAAAAAACATTTTCCTAATACTTAACCGCCTGCTGTTCTCAGCCTCCTCTTACAGCCACTATGTGCAAGCCAGCAAATTGTTTTTAATAATAATAGTCTTAACTGTGCAAATAAAATCAATAAGGTGTATTCATTGATAACATCAGTTCTAATCTGTACTAATTGCAGCATTGTTCAGTGTGTGATACTATTAAACCTGTTCAAAAGGCAGTACTCAAAGCAGAGCCAACTGTGAAAGTCTGCACTAGTCATGTTTTGACAGTATAATGTTGGACAGAAGATCAATACTCCTCCCTTGGCAATTTTAAAAAAATCTGACAACAGGTGTATTATCTTTATTACATTCACTGAATATTATGCATCAACAGCTGCAGGAGTCCTTTACAAAAGCAGACTCAGCTGGAGGTACAAACACTATTATTTAAATCATGAGCCCATGAAGCCTTTTTCCTAAAGATGAACTGATCACATTGTTCAAGCTGATCTATGGACCACAATATACCGTAGTTGCATCTCTGCAATATATTTAGATGAACAGTAAAAGATGAATATTGTTTTCCTCGCTTGACTTAACAGCATTTTTAAGAAGTTTGCCTTAAGGCACACTCGATGTCTTGGGGATATTCAATCACGTAACACTGTATTGTATTATTCACTGTTTATCCCCTGCTTTGCAAGGTTTTTAAATAGGTCGGAAAGAACACAAACATCAGCAGTACCCATACAGGCACCATGCTGAAATTACTGCAAATACAGCACATAACATTTTTATTGGAAAGCACGGCACTTAGATGACTACTTAGATGATTTTTCATATTTTCTGCTTTAGGTATGGCTTTAAGGCAAGATCTTTCAATAGCATGTTTTTAAGATAAGAAAAGGCTAAGGATAGTTGTTGTACTGAAACCTGTCCTTCTGTACTGTACTTGACTTCACACAGGCCCGTTAAACGGACTTAGCAGTCAGTCTTAGCTCTACATTCACACAGCTCGCTAATCACTTTCCCTATCATGCTTCTGAGAAGCCTATTTCACGAGTCCGCAAAACGTAGCCTGGCTTGAGCCTGCATGTGAGTTTGAACCAGAGATTCACCACTGCTTCATTCTTCCTTAGCTCATGGCATGTTAACTCACAAGCATGTCATTTCAGGAAGTGCTTGGGAGATGGGGTTGATGCTCTTTATACAGTCATTACTGAGGAGAGGGAGGTAAAAAGCCCTGTCTGACATCACATTGCACTTCAGCTCTCTGGTAGCACAAACACTGTATTTTAGGGCTCAGTGTCAGTGAAACGTCATTTGGGGGCTCCCTGTTAGCAGACCAATGAAACTTAAAATAGAAAATCATCACCGAAGTTCATGTGCCCTAAAAATAACCAATCACGTGGAAATAGTGGAATGTGACTAAAGATCAAAGACGACTGCCTTGCAGGTGATGGGGAACTCACCTGTTTTACATCATACGCAAGAAGAACGAACCTCAAGTCTGGGGACACTGAATATTTTGCAGCTTTGAAAGTGACCTAAAAGAATGAAAAAAACAACCATCAGGAACATGCACCCTTTCAAAAAATGAATCAGCAATATTACTAAATGTAATTCAAAAGCATATTTTGCCGCTTTCATGATCTTTACTGTTCCACTGCTTTCTGTTGCATGTACTGTAGGTGGAGGCGTGGTAAACTTCAGAAGTGTGTTGCATGTGTCAACAGTATACAATCACACACAGGACCTCACTTATACTGAGGTTTATATACGAGCAGATGCATGTAAACACATACAATCATAACATAATTAACATAACATAACACACAGATAAGATTAGTTTAATTGGAAACCTGAATATAAACCTTTTTATGCATAATATTTCCATTTTCCTGCAATGTGAAGAAGTGAGGTCAGGATTCAGCACAATGGGTCTCTGTCTGTCAGGGAAGCTTGGCTTTGTTCCGCTCTGGCTGAGAGGCAGAGGCCTACAGGGCAGCTTAACATACAGTATAGTGACATTTACCGAAAACCACACACCAACACACAGATTTATAGAAACACTTCGCATTGGTCCTGGATTTCACACCTGCATGGTTTTAGTCTAACCTCAGACAATTTCGAGTTAGGGTAGCAGAATACTATAGGTATACAGTATTTAGGTAACTATAGGCAGTCACAGAGCTGTAAGGTCCAGGTACAGTACACATGTTCTAGCATAGCTGATTGTTACCATTTAAAAACATGAAAATGTGCACTAACAGGATCTGTCAAAATAGGCTCACAACAGCAAAGTCACTGGGGCCCAAGGACCATACCGACTGAACATTTAATCAAAAAGTCTAACATTTTAGCTAAAAAAAAAACAGAAAACCACTAAATTACTTTCCATTTCTATGAGACTTCAGTGTGATGGGCAATATAATCTTCAGCCCACTGCTGTAAAAGCCTGTCTGATACAGTTTAAAAAAAATCAAAGGCGTTTTGATAAAGAAAATCTGTTTCCCTAGACCAAGACAAAAAATCTTTTGCAATTACAATTGCTTTTAGAAAAACCCATGGATCTGACTTGGAGTGAAAAATGAAAGGGGATAAACTTTACTATAAATAAAATTAAGATAAATATATTCCAAAAATATTTGTTGTTTCTCTCCTTAAAACTTCAAGATCAATCCATTCTAATTAATGTTACATTTAAAATAAGAAGAAGGTTTAGTCAATTACTTTTTGTTTAATGTTTTCCAAGTCTTGAGGTTTATATACAAACTGTAATACTGGGTCTAGAAGACCTGAAGCAATATTGGGAAAATGTAGATTTTTCTGATTACCATCTTTGTGTGAAGAAGAAAAAAACATTACAGAGTTTTAAAACTGCTTAAAATATATAGTATGATGCGGTGTCAGCTGAGAATGAGAAAATGGTGGTAATGTTTAGCTTGTGAATGACAATTGTGACCAGGTTTCTTAATCTCTATTAAATTATTTTCTCTTTTCTAAAAAAAACATTATTATATTGATTATTGATTATAACTTTAGAATAACCAATTTATGCAGACACTACCTTGTAACTACATGGTAGTGTTGTTACAGGAAACTTGTATTTACTGACAAACAGCATTTTTAATATTGTACTGTCATGGGAAGTCAATTTCTGAAGCACCTACTTTAGAAGTATGTAAAAATACAGCACACACCATATAAAAGCAAACACTTTTTTCCTTTATATGTAATTATAAAGTTTGTTTTTGTTTTATTACAATTATTTAACTCTTTCATACCTCAAATCACATGATTGTAGTTTAAAAACCTAAGAAACGTACCGTAGGATTAGAAGCAATAGTCTAAAATGGTACATACAGTAATATACCCTGCAATATATACTGTAAGTGTTGTATTGGCATTTGCCTTCAGCTCTCAGTGTTTACAGCAATGTAGTGAACAGGCTGTTCCAGGTGACAAGACCCCTTCTCCTGCTAGAAGCACTATTTTTAAGTACCAAAAGCCCTCTGAAATCTCATACAATATTTTACAGAATTATTCAATCCTCTGTTTATTAAGCTCTACAGTTTATTTTTCTCTGTGCAGCAAATTACATTTTGCAGGGAGTTACTAATATCTGCTAATATTTTCATGTTTCTGAACAATTTGACCTCTGTTATAATTACTCTTTCCAAAAGTTTGAGTCCAGCATGACAAAGATAGATCATTGTGTTCACAGTGTAACAATTTATAAATATTGATGACTGCAGAGAGCTCAAGATAGGTCATGATTGCAGCTCTGGAGAAAGGAGGTAGTTCCAATAGTTTTGCTAAGAAAGGAAGATCTTTTTCAGAGCTTTTTTGTTTTTTTTGGTACATTTCTAAACATGCTGTACTGTATAGTACTGTACAGTATACCGTATATATAAATATTTTTTTAAATAAAAAAAACATTCTGGGTCCTGTCTTTCAGCATGACTCACAATTCACTTTCGTGCTGCAGGCTGCTTGATAGGTCTAGACAGTTCCTGATAAACCAAGCTACTCACTCATTCTAAGGTGAAAAGATCAAAAGCTGAAGATTAATTTAGTTGAAGCTATACTGCAGGTTTATTAATCTTCTAGAGCACATGACTGAATTTTATCTAAAATTCTTCCATCTCTAATCTGCAAAAATAGCCAATAGACTTATTAAAAGAGCTGGACCTTTGTCAAGCTACTCAGATGGGGAACTGACTTCCTTTAAATCACACCACAATAATTGCAGAAACTAACGTGTTGTCGAGCTTCACTAATCAAAGTTTAATTAATCTAGTTCTTATGTCTATTAATTTATATCCACCCCTTACTTATGTGACAAATTACATCTAAAACTATTCTCAGACAATGCAATCAATACAATGTAGGTGAATCTGAATGGGATCCCCTTAGCTAACTGAGCACAATAGATTAAGACAATTTATTGACGTTATACAGTATAACAAAACAGCAACATAAGAACTTTAAACAAAGTAAACCAGTAAAAATCAATAGTTATACTTACAAAGGTACTACTTTCCAGTAAAGTCATATTGTCATTTGTTGCTGCATCCAATTTGATGACATGACCATCCCTGTCTCTGTAAACAACCTCCGTATCTGTAAAATAAAAGAAAAGAAAATGTTTTTCAAAAACAGCTTGTGGCTTTCTTCAAAAGGAAATTAGTAGCATAATATTATAGCATAATAGCATAATGAGGCAAATGACGAAAACACATTGGCCTATAATGTCAACAGTTTTTAAAATAAATGCCCTTGTAACTATAGAGGGTTTGATCGAGTGGTGAAAACGGACAAGAAAGTCTCACCAATTAAACCTGCTGACAACAGTTTCTTCAAAGTGCAAGATGAAAGGTTACAGCAGAGCAGGAGGAAGACTCCTGTATGAGGAGTCAGTGAGGAAGAAGACCAAAGATGGTTTGCACACGGGCACTAGTACTGTAGAAATACCTGAAATCGTAAGCAGGTTCAGAAGCTTTTTGTTCAGACTTTTGCAGAGCACCAAGATAACTCCAGTACATGTGTTAAATAATGAAATAATATGCAAAATAATTAACAGTGAGTAGACATGCAGCTGTGCTGGATTTAGAAGCAGCCTTTGGCACCGATGATTAAGACATTTTGCTCGCACGTTAAACTAGCTAAGTTTATTTTTCTGGCTCTGTTTTAAAACAGTTTATTATATTTTGCAGTTTATTACGGCAGTTTATTAAATTTTGTGAGGCTTCATACTGGAGTTCAGCAAGGTTCAGTTTTGGGCTCTGTCCTTTTTCTGATTTTACAGCTGTGCCTCTCTAATTAGGAATACTGAAATTAGTTTCCACACGTATGCTGCTGACATAGAGCTGTCTTTGCCTATTGAGTCAACCTTTCTGCAGCTGCGTTCAAAGTGTTTCCATTAGGTTTGGAGACTCTTTCCCACCTGCACTTTCTTTTATTCTTCTTTGCTATCTCTGCACCCTTCCTCTCTCTCCCTCATAACTGACGTAGGTTCAGCAGCCAAAGTCACGGATTTTCCATCCGTCTATGTTTTCAGCATGTAATCTGCATAATCCTTGGTGACCTATTTGATCCAATATTCACTGGTCTGGTTCCCTGTATTGCACTTTACATTGCCTTGCTCCTCCATCCCCTTCTGATCTCATACAGTATAGGCTTTTGTCCCAGACACAGTATTTTGCTCCGCTAACGCTGCCCTCCTTTGTCTGGGATTTTAGTTTTGGCCACAAAACATAGGACATTTCTTCCAGTATACACAGTATGAGGAGTTTTATTATCCTGTCAACTTTTAGGAAACAGCCTGAAACCTTTTTTTGTTCCATTCGGCTTTTAATTATGACATTTACACCTATATCAATCTTACACAGTCCAATAACACATGGGTAGATGAATTGGCTTCTGGGAAAACTGGCCCTGCATGTGAATGTGTGTGTCCATCCTGCGATGGACCGGCATCCCGTTCAGGGTGTACTCTGGCTTTCACCCGCTGCTTGCAGGGATAGGCCCTGTCTGCCTCACAACCCTCAATTGGAAGGAACAGTTAGAAAATGGATGGATGGATTAATCTCTTCCTCCAATGTACAGTACAACGGTCTGAGACATGTGTTGTGCACGAGGCACTTTAAAATGCATGATGTCACAGTATTATAAAGAATGGTCTGGGTGAAAAAGAAGGCTCTTACTATTGAGGCATTAGAAGTACTTCAGATTCAATAGTGGGTCACTTTATGGCACCTCTTGGGAAAGGGCTTCCTTTCCCTTTATGGCTAGTGAGCATAATTATAATTTTCACTGAGAAAAAAAAGAAGTTGCCACATATATACTGTATTATAAAAACAACCACATGCATAATAAATAATGTGGCATTGAATATGATATTGCTTTTCCTATTATTGAAAACATTGACCTTATCGTTTTGCTTTTACATTTCTAAGCAGGGACGTCACATTTATATCCATTGGTCAGTTTACATTAGAGTTTCTGAAAATAACTACCTTTGACTTTCTATTCTAATGACACTGCAAAATTGATCAAGGCTCCTAATTTGTTTTCAATAAATGTAATCCATTACAACCGTGGATTTAATATAAAAAGTAAAGCTACAAGAAACTGAAATATTGTGCAAACATTTGGCCCTGAAAATTCAATCCGGATATTTTTGAAGAATGTGCAGAGATTATCAGTATGCTGAAAACCTCAATGAACGACAATAAAACCTCCTGGGCTAATTTATCTTTATTTTAATTTCCTTTTTCATCCATCTGACACAGATCTTCCATTATCAAGCATTTATTACTATAAAATGTAACCCGTTTGCTTTAGTGCAATTGATCCAATTGTTCGGTTAGTGCCAATGTTGTTGAGAAATCATTGCTTAGCCACTTTTGGTGCTGCTGTGAAAGGTACAGTATTTGCATCAGAACCCCAAGAAAACTGAAAGCACAATGTACTGTACAGTAGTGGCTAATTAGTTTGAAAGGCATCTCCTTACTTGAAACCAAAGTTCTCAGAAGGCTTAATCATAGGTTTCACATTGTTACTTTTAATTTGGTTTTTGTTGTCAAATTGCAGAGTTCTCTGCAGTGTGTTTTCTAACATTAGTTTAGATTTCTCCAAATCAATAAGGACATTAACTGATTTATGGAGCAATTAATGCAAGTGAAGCATACAGCATATTTCAATCTTTCTACAATCAGGTTCCTCTCTCTGGTGTTACCAAAAAATGTTTAGTTCCTGAAAACACAGGCAAAATGTTCACCATTATACTGCATAGTCATCGTACCAAATTCAGGATAAAACGTTTTTAACAATGATGATATAGATGGCTGTGAAAGTTGACATGATATATTGAATTTAAAATGACCTACTGAGCCTTTTGTACTTTAAGCCTATTTGGCATCAGTAAAAATTTGCTTCTTCATTTTTGGAGGCTCCAATCCTTTAAAATGGTTTATATTTTGTACAGTGCAGGCTTGTAAAACATCATCTTGCCTCGGTCTCTGACAGCTTTATGAAGTTCAGACTGATGTTCACAATGTTCACAAGGAGTGAGAAAAATAATTCACAGGATTTGAGATGCAACAAAGACTTTGTTCATGAGACCCTAAAGGACTGGAGCGAATGGAGTTCTGCATTGACAAGCCACTTCAACTTGAATATGCAGATTGACTCTCTCTTTCATGATGTTCAAGGTATTTTCTGTAACTGAAATGGTGAAGATTCAGTCTGTGTGTTGTAACTCATTTTATCAAAAAAACATAGCGTTATTTACGAATAATAAGATCCGAAAAGAGATCTGACAGTTTATTGTATGGCTGACAGGTATTTCATTTAGTATTTAGTATTTTAAATAAAATAATCTCAAATAGGGTAACTTTGATGAACCACACATGGAAAAACATTTTTTACAGTAACAGATGCGATTGAACAATTAGTCAACACATAGGAAGGAAGAAACAGGTTGAGAACTGCAGTCTTATTCATTAATCTCACACTGCTCCCCAGAGACCTCCTAGCTTCTGAACTAATGTCCTAATGACAAACTTTAACTTACACCATCTGGACTGACAGAGTTTTATAGTAAAAAGGACATTGTTTCATTTAAAGAACAAAATTAAAATATTTGACGTGAAGATGATAGCAATTTGAGCTATTAAAAAGCTAAAACATTTAATCCGAAATATTTTAGTTTAGAAGGTAATTAAGGCACTTAAGACAGTTATTGCAAGTGCACCAGTGGTACAGAGATCATGTAGTGTAGGCCGGAGAGCAACAAACTGGAGCTCAGCTTGAAAATGTCCAAAAAGATCATAACAATGATCAGATTTGCACTGTGATGGTAAATATTTTCTTTTTAATCAGACAGCTATTCGGTGATGGACTGGTGTCCACTCCAGGGTGTAGTCTGTCTTGCAGCCAGTGTCTTCTCTGGCTACAGCCCACCATGACCCTATATTGGACTAACAGGCTACTGAAAATGGATGGTTGAAAGAATATAGAGGTTTCACTGCTGTATGGCACAAATAAATCAAGAAGAAATAACATACATTTTTTTTGTTTTAACCTTTAACGATCAACACCCCTGGTGTGGCTATTTACAGGTAATTGGAAGCAGAATGGTTGCAAACTGGTTGTGACTACAGTCCCCTCTTTAGTCAGCCTGGCCCACATATTGTACAATTCCCACACCAAAAGTCAAGATATGCATGTTCATGGAATATTACTATATTGCAGAAGTATTTGCATCAATATGTCATTGTTTTGGATTTTCATATTAAACAGTGAAATGTGCATTAAATCTACTCCATTTAAGCTTATGTCTCTCATCCCTTTACAGTGTAACAGAGCTTTTGCTGTTGATCGTTGGCATGTAGGACCATGACTGCTAACAGGGAGGTGAACGCTTGCTGAACACTTCTGCTTTAAAGGCAGATTGAGGGTGCCTTTCATTGCCATTTTCTTTGAGTGACACTGGGGCCTCTGCTGAAATTGGTGGAGCAAAATTCTAAAAACTCCTCAGCAATTACTTCTTTCATCAAAAAAGTGAAACATGTTTCATGAAGACTCTTTAAGGATTGGGATATAGTCAAATCCAGTTTTTTTTTTTCTTTGCAGCAGCTTAAAATTGCAAATGCTTCCACAGGTTAAAGAAACATACTTTTAACATCTTTGAAGCATACAGTCTATAACATTTATGTAAATATTACATCTTTTTAAGTCTTTTAGATGAAGAGTACTGGAGATCATTTAAATTTTGCGGTGCATTCTAATAAAATAAATTTTAATTAGTTTCTTTGTCAGTGAATTCAATGGAATAATTTATTACTGTTGTAGATTGTTGTTTAAGAGGTTAAAAAGAAGTAAGCACTGGGAAATGCTACTTTTGTTACATGTAAGGTTTCAGCATTACTTTATTGTTAGAAGTATCATTATAACATACTGTAAAAAGCATTCTTATATTCCCAACTGTATTTTAAACTCTATTCTTTTAATAATTCACAAAAATGGGTTACTTATTGAAATGCATTAGACAGCATAGTTTTAATGCTACTATTTTTAAAAAAACCTTCGAATAAATTAGATTTATATTTTGACTTCAA